TACCCGACAGGAGGCCTATCGCGCGGCAAGAAGGCAGAATCAGCGGACGAATCGCAGCGCGTGATGTGCGACGTAGGACGTAGAAAGATACATATTTAACCTTGGATAAATCACTACAGTGGGAGTAGTACAGTTGCGCTGGTACTCGTCCGTTCACCGACGCCGGGCCGCGGGCCTCCTGCCGAGTACCCACCCCTCCCCATCCTCATTTTCACGCCAGTCCCTCTTCACTCCTCCCAGATATCCCGTCTGGGTACGGGGTCTTCATGGTGCTTCGTGGTGCTGCAGTGGGAGTAGTCGGAATTCCCAGATTCCCTCGGAAAAGTCCTGTCTCCCTTCCTATCAAAGCGGTCGCCTCGAATGCGCTTCCCTCCCCCGCCCCCATCTCAAAAGGTCAAAATTGCTTGCACGTTGAAATCGTGCGACGCACTCTTGACTCTGTTACGCAGTTGAGCTCTTGGAAGCGGCGCGGAAGTACAAAAAATCTCACTGCAGTGTCGAGCTGGTCGTAGTTGCGAACCTCGGTCGTCCTGCGCTGGCAGCTTGTCCGATAGCGAGCCTGAAATTACTCTGAATTGACCATCAAGTAAACTGTGTTTAGGCGGAATTTGTGGTTCTCCACTCACACTAGCACTGTTCAGGCGCCGCACATTTCTTGATAGCTGCTGCAGTGCTGCTCTACGGAAGTTGATCCGATTCAGAGTTCGGAGAGCTCTAGCTGCTTTTCTGTAATTGAGACCCATGTGAGCATGGGTAGGTAGCAGGATCAAACCGTGGCGTATGGACGATTTCAAACATACGCCCCCTCCCTTTCCTACCATCTCTTTTGAGTGCTGATGTCGGAAATATCGTCACGTTGAACCTAGCTCAGCATGACATCCTTCTAACCGACTCCAGTGTCCCCACCTTGCCTGAGGGGTGATAATGCGGGAGGAGGGGGTGTATGTCACCATGGAAGGGGTAGAAAACGCAAAAATAGCCTAATTTTCCCAAATTTTCCTAACTTGGCGGTAACTTTCCTAGTTTTGGCAGGAAAAGCTCCCTTCTCGTTTCTTCAAGGAATATGATCTGCTTCCGATAATTCCGAAGTATGACCGCTGCCGGAGCCACAAAATAGGATTCCCCCGTTGGACTCGGCCACACGAACGATTGACCGTGGCAGGTGTCTCATTAATCGAGCTTATTTGTAAAAAATTGGTACCTGAACAACTGAGTGTTCCTTCTGTTGCGATTGTCGGTTACCATTGTATCCAGTGTAGCTGCGCAAGTGTCGGACTGCATTCTTGAAACAAATCAGATGGTGGATGTAGGATGAGATCTGAGAGCCGTGTCCTTATCCATGCCCCCAGGGAACGCGTCCCCTGTCAGCTGATTTAATAATCTGAGCTTGGGATACAGTTTGCGTCATAGAACGCCCACTGAAGCGCGGGTTACATGGGTGTAAACTACGTCTTTTCTCCCTGTCGATCCTCTTTCTCTCTGAAAATCGCGTCCCATAAAAATCGGAGTATAAAAACGTCAGGGTATGGCTGGCCCTATGACACGACCTTGTCTCCCCCAACCATAGGATAGGATCAGCAGCGGGGGGATGCGTCCCTTATGATACGGCCCCTGGGGTTGCGAGCCAGGAGATTCCTTAGGGCCAGGCGTGTCATTCCAAGGCCTTAAGTACCGTAATAACGTCAAACCAAAAAAGATGGTTGTGTGACGTCTGATACGACCTTTTTTACGGCAAACAAGTGACGAACTCTGCAACAGAAACTTTAGGGGCAAATCATGCAAGGTTACGAAATATGACCCTTTCGACTGGGTCTGGCAGGGGGTGGTTACTCCTAGCTGCACTTAGGAATGGCGCCGTTGGCCCGGGTGGAGCTGTTGAAAGGCAGGTTAATGTTACCTATGGGGGACATCTGACTTCGATAATGGGGAGCGACTCCAGTCGGATCTGCAGTAGGCCGATGTCAGACTTTGCGAATCGCGCGATTCGCTAGCGTCCGCGGTCGCGTTGCGGTACCAGCCAATTGAGTGATTCACTGGCCGCGACGCGACCGCAGACGCTAGCGAATCGCTTCGCAAAGTCTGACATCGGCCTTATCTCGTGCTTTCTCTGATTCATCCCATTTGGGCCATCATCTACTCACAATCTCAAACAAACATGTACTTCACCTGCACATCCTCATTGGTTGGCAAGTCAGGAACGACTGGAGGCAGATCGGGATCTGAAATCATAAGCAGGATTGCCTACGATCGCAGTTTTCCGGTGAACTTCTTACCTGTGGTAGTTCGCACCGGTGTCCTTGTAGGCCCGTACGGGGTGGTTGTGACCGGAGGATTGGTGCGAGTTGGTGGAACTGTAGGATACGTGGGACTTGTTCCCGGTGTCCGTGTAGTCACGTATGGTGTGGTTGTGACCGGTGGTGTCGGAGGATTGGTGCGAGTTGGTGGAACTGTAGGATACGTGGGACTTGTTCCCGGTGTCCGTGTAGTCACGTATGGTGTGGTTGTGACCGGTGGTGTGCTGCGAGTGGGCGAAGGTGTGGGATACGTAGTTGTTGCTGGTGTCCTTGTAGGCTCATATTGCGTGGTTGTGATCGGCGGTGTACCAGGAGGGCTCGGTCGAGTGGGTGGTGGTGTGCTACGAGTTCCTGAAAAATCTGTGAAATACCAGCGCCACAAGAATCGATCGATACCTTCTCCATTTTATCAGAAAACAGTTATTGATCGGTTGAAATATCTATCTAGAGAAAAGTTCCAGAAAGCAATTGGGTTGTGTAACAAAAAGTACATCTTACCTCGAAGAGGGTTTCGATAAGCTATAGAAGAAGGTGTCATGATAAGAAGTGTTAACGGTATCAGAGGTATAGGTGAACCGTTTCGGTGCAGAATAGACACCCGAGCAATTATTGGCGTTCTACCGCTCCTGCGTGCTCCTCATTGTAAGCCACATAAGGTCTGCACTGGGCCTGGTCAAACGC